TGAATGACTAAGGCCGGAAATGGAGGTGAGTCATGCAGGGCCTGCTTTGTCCAGTCTTCTGCAAACAGGACAGGGAGACAGGCAGCCTGGACTCTTGACCAGCCTCCCACTGGGACAGGTTCCCATGCTGAGGGGGCCCCTGCTCCTGGCCCTCATCCCCAGCTCCCCATGAACCTGTTGTGGGAAGGGGTGACATTCCAGTCTGTCCACCCAACTGGTACTAGTCCCTGGGTCACACTATCTCCCAACCACACACCCAGTGGAAAAGCCAAAAAGAATGAGGGAGCAGGGCCAGGCTGGGCCGGGGCTGAGTTCTTGGGTGGGTGCCTCTGTCTCCCCATTGCTGAACCCTGGGGTAGTGAGGGGTGTGGGGTGTCAGACAGGAGGAGCAGGACCAACAGAAGTAAAGGGGTGAGGTCAGGAGGAGTCCCCAGGCCCTGGGCAGAGATGCTGGGAGGAGCCTGGCTCTCTATGCAGCTACCCAGTAACATTTATAGGTCCGGCCAAGCCCAATCCTACAGGTGTTTCACCCACCACATTCCTACCTGCTCGGAGCAGGTGCACAGGCTGCCTGCCTTCTGCGATTTTGGTGGTTCTCTATCTATCCACTCTGCCTTCAAGCTGAGCTGGGCAGCACCTTGGCTACCTCGACTAAGCAGGTAGGGGAATAATCATGAAATAATAGCAGTAAAAACAAGGACAAACAATAGCCAAAAGGTGGGAAGGACCCAGGTGGCCACTGACAGCTTCATAGATAAGCTGTGTGTCATGGGCCTGTAGACAGAAGGGGAAGACGCAGAGAGCAGGGTGTGTGTGACAGGAGTGCTAGGTCTCCAGTGAGGGTGTGTGTAGGTGATGTGTACATACAGGGTGTGTGCACTGGTGTGTGTGTGTGTAGGGGGGTGGTGTATGGGGTTGGTGGGAAGGAGGAAGGTGGATCAGCTTGGGGAGGAAAATAGGCAACGTGTGTGTATGTGTGTGTGTGTGTGCGCGCCAGTGCACACTCAGGAGGGCACATGGGGCTCCAGAGGAATGTGAGACATGCAGGGAACGGTGACAGCCGACAGCTCCATGCCAATGGGGGAGGGGGCAGAGGGCAGCTTTCCCTGGTGGCTGGGGTCATGAGGTTCTGGGAGGAGACACACAACTGGCAAGGGTTCCCAAACACCTTCCCACCTGAATCCTCCAGCCAGCAGGCAGCCCCCCAGCACCCCAAAGACCAAACATGTTCCCCCTTGTCCCCACTGGCTGCCACACCCAGGGCTGGAGCCCAGCAGAGCTCCGAGCCAGAGTCCATAACATTCCTTGGAGAATCAACAAAGTCAGGAAAGGCAGGAGTGCTGCCCCTGCCCCTGGGTGGGACCCATGGGGTGAAGGTGGCAGCACCCTTCCTGGCAGAACAGCCATGAAGCCTGTGCAAGGGCAGAGGTTGTGGGAGGTCACTCCTAGAGCTGAAGAAGGAGAGGGGGGCACAAGGCACAGCAGCCAGGCCCCCCCCCCACCCCCGTCCTGCCTGACCTGCTCCTGCTTAGCCAGGAGGCCTGCCCTCCCCTCCCCACCACCAGGCCAGGCACCTGCCAGCACTGGGTGCCGCTCTAAAGACCCCGACCCAGGGCAGCCCCACTCACCCCGCAGGGGACATCCTTGGCAGGCCATCGGCAGAGCCGTCTTGCCCTGTGGCACCTGGTGGTGTGTGCAGGCTGAGGAGGGCAGGGAGCAGCATTCTGCCCACTCAGTGCTCTGCTCACTGGGCGGATTAGGGACAGGGTGGAGCATTAAAGGCACAGAGTCAGACAGGGGCTCTGGGGAGACGGGGTTGTCAGATAAAATTCAGGGTGCCCAGTTAAATTTGAAATTCAAATAAACAACAATTAATTCGGGCCAACTTATACTAAAATATCACTTGTTGTTTCTATGAAATTCCCATTTAACCGGGCATCCTGCATTTTATGTGGCAAGCCTGTGAGGGCGCCCCTGGAAATTGGCAGGGCCCCTGAGAGGGAAAATCACTCATTCGTTGTGTTCTGAGTTCGGACTCTCAGCCAGGCTGCCTGTGTTCACATCCTCTCTCAGCTACTTCCTGGCTATGAACCTCCTGAACCTCAGCTTCTTCATTTACAAGATGAGGCTCAGTACTGTCCACCTCATGACTGTGAGCATTCAGTGAGCTATGTGAAACGCCTGGGCACAGTGTTAGAAAGGTGTTAGCATCCATTCATTCTGGCAAGAAAGATCCATCACTAAAAACCAGCCTTTGGCAGCAGGCGGGCAGAGGCTGTGTGGACTCCGGCCGGTGACCTCACCCCCGTCCCCTGGCGTTTCTCATCGGTAATAGAGGACAGCAGCACCTTTCCCTCCGCAGCTCCGGGATTAAGTAGGATCTGGGCTGATGCAGGCTCAG